TAATAATAATAATAATAATAATTTTATTTTATACAGCGCTTATACAAATCTGCTCTAAGCGCTTTCAAATTACAAACAATTACAATGACAGAGTCATGGTAGACTGCGAGCTTAAGATGGCGCCTCATGGCTGCCGCTCTTAGTCCGTCCCAAGATATCAAACTTAAAAATTACAACAATAAAAATTAAAATATAAATGACACTACAAAAAATACATACAAGGAATAAAGAAGCATGCATGATGGCCGGTGGCTCAGATGAGCTCATTCGCCCTTTGACAGGTCTTGTTTTTAGTCCTGCTGGGTGTACATGCCACCCTCCTCACCAGTTAGACTGGTGGGGGAGCCGGTTTAGACGCCGACGACCCGTCCATGAGGCAGGTTGTACTGGGTTACAATGTTACCAGTAGCAGACTCATCGTCTGACCTGACTTTAAAATGACAATGTCAAATGAGTGTAATCAGCTGATGGAGCATCCATGGTGACCAAAACTAACAAAGATTAAGTTATGTCAAAATAGAAATCTAAGTCTTGAGTTAAACTATTAGCTAAATGGTCAAAATATAAGACTTTGAACATGCAACSTACAGTACAGTAGCCTACTTTCATGTTGTACGACAACACAGTTAACAGTGGTTTTGAAAGGATGCCAAGCATACACTCACTGATAATTGCGTGTAATAGACTGTCAATTTTGTTAATGTTAAAGATCCTTTCCTATGAAAAATGTTGAATTTGAGGAAGTCTACCATGAATGTGGATTTATCAATCATTGACCGACATTTTTCATAAATATTGTAATATTTTTTATTTTATCTTTAAATAAAATTTCAATTCAATGAAGTCATTGACTTAACAGATATTATTCTCTTATTTATGAACCAAACTCTCTCAACTGTCAATGCACAACTACCAGCAAAACTTTTTGCTGACCAGTTTCTAATTATAGGCTTCTAAAAAATAAAACCTATGTCTCTAAAACTTCTTAGTTTCAAAAATTAAGGGTGTAGCAATAGACCTTTCCATGCTGTCTTGATTTGAGATCTGTGTGTCATCATGTTGTCATAGTTACCAGTACATTGTATCAGTAGATCTCCTTTCAGTTCATTCATCAAGCACCTTACATGACACATGAAAATATATAGTTGAATTGCTAGAAAAATCAGTCAAGCACCATGACGGAATTTGACTGTCATACCTTGAAAATTAGACTGTATAGGCATGTACATGGCGCAAAATTTACTTTTCTGTCAGATTGTGATCTGTATTGCTTCATGATAGACTAATAGTCATGAAGGTTTGCTGGACTAAGGTATGAATTACATATGAATTATTATATATTACAACCTACAATATTAAAACACCACAAGCTTTTAATATTTGTAATTTATCCGCACTTGATCATCTTCAGTGATGTCATTCTACACTGCTAAACTAATAACATTACATTATTGTAACACTCAAGGTGACTTGAGATAATGCATGACTACATGTACATCTTAATCAGATATCAGTTCATTTACATTTTGTCAATGTTTTCATTTGTAGTAACACTCAAAAGTTCACTTAAACTGGTTAATTAGGTCATTCTTTATACTGTAACAATTTCCAACTTTACTGCTAGCTAACACTTGAGTTCTTGTTATCTGAGTACAATATTTTGTATCTTTCTGACATATAAGTACCTTAGCATGGAGCAGGAAKGCTTCCTTACAATGACCTGCCAAGTTGATGTGAAGAAAGCGTAGTTTATGGTAAAGAGATACAATATTGTAAGCAGTGCCTGACAGACCAACCCATGATAGATATTGGTAGTTTGACATGATAGTCTATTATACATTGGAATGTATCTTTCAAACAATAACAAAATGAAGTATGTTTGAGTAGTGACACTCTTTGCTAGCATCAATAATTAATTACTTCACTGAAGCTAATAAAGTTAATGTGAATTTTTGAAGATTACAAAAACAAATGGAATTCATCTTACAGGTGAATTATTTTCTGGCTGTTATRAAAGAATGATGATAGTAAAGATGATTAAATTTTAAAGGATTTATKTTAGTCAGCTATAGTGTACAATGCTGTACAATCATACATATCCCAGCCATAAATTATTCAAAGTACAAATAATTGTTTAAAACATTCAGCAAGCAGCTCTTGTGAAATACTCTGTACTCTGTAAGTATTTTCTCAATACTTGTTTAAACTAAAACTAAACATTGAATTTAGCATAAACTACTCTTCTTATAACAGAGATCACTGACAATGCTGTCTACACCACAACATACCAAGATAAAACAATACTAACAATGCAATCATTATAAATTATAACTAAGCTCACTTAGACTATTTCAAATCTTAAGTTTTTTTCTTTTAACATTCATTATGTTTGTTAGAAGAGACAAATTGTTTTGAACATTGAAATTTTTGAGGTAAGTTCAAAAACGTCCTCAGTGGCTTATACAATGTAGCTTTAGCCTGTACGYTGTTTTAAAAAACACACCCAGATTCAAAACTCCTTACAAAATTATAGAAATTATTAAAATCTACCACATATAAAGAAGACAGCTGAAACAATCTTAAATAAAACAGGGTTTTAAGATTGAGTTTTGTGGCTTATTTCCTATTATTATTTCATTAATAATATGCTATATTTTTAAAATAGTGGCAATGATGACACTTAAAAAATCCACRACCATTTTGTTGAGTTTGGGATYGAGGACGTTCTTAGGTTATTTCATTTTGCTTTGCTAATATACATGACTATATCAAGACAACACTGTCTTAATTATTGATGAACAGCTGTTTTACACAGCAATTAATGAAGGCTGACARTAATGTGAATATGTAATGATTACAATCACAAGTAACTTACAGTGAAATGCAGTGAGGTCTTCTCCTGTTCAATATCCTTCATCTTGAATTTTATTTCTTGCATTTCCTTCATAACCTTATCAGCTTTGCCAAGCTGTTGGGTTGTTTTCACCTCTTCTTCTTCTCTTTCCTCAACCATTCTCATTTTATCCTCTAAAATCATTAAAAAAAACAAATTCATAAAAAAAAAACAGGAAAAAGCATCATACATAAATAATATAACATGCTTTAATGAGTTTTTYGACACGTTTCAGATTGTTAAAAGTGGTTAACACCTGTAAATACAGCCTTACCAGTACTTTTATATTGTTTGTAAATTTATTACTTAATATTTACCTTCAAATTTCTTAAGCATTGTAGCCATGTCTTCATTGAACTGTTTCTGGTTCTTGTCAATCTGATTCTTCAAAGCTGTATTTTGATCTTTTAGGTCTTGAGTTTCCTTGTCATGCATTTTCTTCATTTCAAGTTTCACTTGTTTAGTAGTCTCTCTAAGTCGATTCATTTCATCTTCCATTTCCTTTCTCTCTAGTACCCAGACCTCCTGTTGTTTTGATTGRGGACCAGATGATACAGTATCTCGCTCAAGTTTCTTGATTTGATTTAAGTTTGCAGTTCTTTCTTTCAGTAGAAAACTAATTTGACTTTTAACAGTAGTGGTATCTTGACTAATGTCATTTATCCCAGCATCCTTCAGCATATCACAAACCTCCTCTGATACCACAGCACCAGCCTCTCTCTCAACTTTCATCTGCTCCATCTCTGCCTTTAACTGTTCATTCTCAGCCTCAAGGTCTTTWGTGAGTTCTTCTCTTTCATCAGAGAGTTGTCGGATATGAGTGACATAGTTTTCTACCTCAATCATCTCTTCTGCATGCTGCTTGCGGAGCTGCTCAAGGCTGTCCAATGATGACTTGAGACTTGTTTCAGATCTTGTAACCTGCCGCCACATATAGCGGAGTTTATGCTCCAACGGTATTGCTGTACTGTAGCCATCTTCTARCAGTCTGCTATCAATGTCTTTAAGCTCTCCTTTGTCCTATATGTACAGTATATCATATTAATTATCTAAAATCATGTAAATACATGTATAATGTAAGGAAAGGCTGATCAAAAACAACACTACAAGCTACACTTCTATGTAAGAGACTTCATAAATGGATTAAGTATTATTTATCCAGTACAAATTGTCCTTGACACTTGAGGTTTCCGTGATAAACAAATCAATTAAGCAAGCAGACAGCTATGATTACAAGCTAATCAAAGCCTCGCTCGACAAAGAAAATAACTWTKAATGAACTCTTCAAAAAACTGGAATCTTAAGTTAAGGAAAAGACATCAGAAGGAGGATAGCAAGAAATTTCACAACAAGCTAGCTTTTCATGCAAGAAAACGACTTTTAGCAAATCGATCGGTTCTGACTGAATATCCACGCGATCGTATTACTTACCGACTCGAGAATAACAAGACTTGACATCTTTGTGGACTATTTTCTTGTAAATTTTTTGCTTTGAATGTTTAGTAAAGAAAGCAAAGTTACTTCAGCTGTAATTACTCCTCGAAAGCTYCTCTTAGTATTCACGAACCCTCCGCCATGTTTATTGCTAACGACGCCAAGTTATAGACGCCACAGGAACCCCAATTATGCTACATGTACCGGTCATCGATGGTCATCATTACCATATATCAAGTGTAGGGGGCAGGGTCGGGGTGTTACAAGATAAAACATTAGTGGCATTCCTTTTTTCTTCTTTTGSTTTATTTTAATACTCTAAAAAAAGCTTATGAAAATGACAGCCTACTATGTCGATGCGTGTATTTGTATCTATTTCAGTTAAGTACATAGGTACTTCTGGTGCAACACAGCTGATAATGACAGATCTATTGAGCTTATTGCAATTTCAGAAAATAAAAGATTGACTATGTACAAAATACACTCTGTGAAAAAGCTGCTCATAAGGCGTTTTCAACACTGTATGGATTTCTCATTCAAAGTTATTTTGGCCGCGTCCTCGGCACTGTGACCTCATAAACGCGCGCGAATATAAATTAGGATCCGTTCAACAACCGGCCAGGCTTCCAAAAGACCCTGTGTTTCTGTGAACGAAGTTTATACCGATATGTATTGCCTCAAATTGCGTATTATTAGGAGCGTCTGGGTTTTGGAAAAAARTCATTATGAGTGTTTTCGAAAATATCCGGATAGTTTTCGGTGGTTTTGTGTGAACGTTGAGGAACACATGTTTGACCTTCACTAACCGTAAGAACCGGACCCCGTTGATATATGATACTATGAATTTAACATAAATCTCAAAGGAGCTTATAAATAATAATAATAAAATTATTATGTTTAGATAAACCGGACTGTGAATGATCGTTCAAGACACTAGTAGATAATACATAATACGTACGTCTCTGTGCGACTGTGGTGGATATAAAATAGCCCTAGGTAGCTAAGGCAAAATCTTTTGTTTCAGAAGACATATGTACTTCTGTTTGTTTTAAATCCTCCAGGGAAAAGAAAACAAAAAAGTTTGTCTCTACTAGCTACCTACCCTCTTTATTATGTAAAGAGGGCCTTAGAGTCTAAATAAATGACTTGTTGTCCTTTGCTGAAACTATTAGTTTAGTGTCATCAGTAATTGCATCACAGTACATAAAAACTACTGTAAATCAAACGTAAAGAATGCCGTAGAATGTGATGTATTAGAATATCTGTTAAAGACAGGAATATCGCATCGTGTCTTAGWTCATGTGTTTTAGGTCGTTACTAATTGACACGAGTTGCCAGTTAAGGTTCAGCTGTCAGGTCTAAGCTTCAAGGAACACAATGTTTCAGCTCATGAAATGATATTTATTTGCAAATGTCTTTCCACATTTCACACAACAACGATTTGTTTTGAGACCCAAGTTTCGGACTATATCCCACCATTTGGGGGTCTTTACCACAAAATGAGCAATTGTTATATTCCAGAAAAAGCGCGGCTAATGGAATTAGCTGTCAGCAGTTTTGCTTCAGCTGTGCTGAATTGATATTGTTGCCGCAATTATATCAACGAGCGCAAAAACCGTTGAAATTTAGGGTTCTAAGATTACAATAGGCTTGAATGAACCAATAAAAAGTGGTATTTTCTGCTTGATATCCCAGTATAAAAGATAGTCAACCGTCAATGTTTTCTCATTCACACTGAAACTGCAAACTCCGAAGGTTGACTGTTCATGCATGGTAACAATTATGAAGGTTAAGTTTTTTCTTATTGTTGTTGCTGTTTCTTGTGGCTTGGTTAGTGGTTTTCAAGACTATCAAGATATTCCTTTAGAGATCGAGCAAAATGGTTAGTAAAACTGAGATGATTTTTTAACCGGCTACAGTCGGTCACTTTACTAGACCGCCGAACTCGTAACGGTCAAATTCTAATTTGTAAATCGTGTTTGTTACTTGAMCATCATAAAAGACCGCAATGAGCCGTGTCACACTTCAGGTACGATACCAACATATGATTTCAGCATCCACAATTATGTACATTTGCGCGCAATTTAGACTCGGACAAAAATCATATTTCATCACAAATGATTGAATTATCAGATTTCAAATTGTTTCTGTCAACAATAATGATATTTTATCAGTTTTACTTTGCCAGCTGTTGTTTTAACGGTTTTGGCGCGTTTTGGACCAAAGTCAAATCRACTAAACATTCCAAGCAGGCATCCTGCGATGGATGGCCCTGCTATGATGGGTAAAGAATCTGTCAGTATAAATTCTGATCGAATTTCCTCGTATTAACACCGCGTGAAATGTTTTAACGGTCATTCCTCAGTTTATCAGCCCTRMATACATTCACTGAAATTGTTACCTATAGGCAAGGCTTATTTTCACCAAAATCCGGTCAAAACTATCAAAAGAACAGAAAAGAAGTATGTGAACGGCCCGAGCACAACGAAGGCAAGTCTTAYTACGCGGAAAAAATGCAYTGAAGCTTTGATGCTTTTTTTTCATTAATTGGCGATAACTTACAATTGAAACAATTTGGAAAAAATCATCTCAAACTCAGATTTTCTTRTTGGTCTGTCATTCTTCTCTCTAACTTCTTCTTTAGCTTCTTTTTGTCTTTTYCTTTTTTTTAAATAATATCGTTCATCTCGACTAGATGTTATATCGGTACTGGGAAGTAAATTCCAGTGGCGGATAGAGGGGGGGGGGGGGGGGGGAGGGTTAGGTTATTATAATACCTACTTCTAAACGTTAGCTCTCTAAAGAAAAAAATTCACCCCCCTAAAAAAAATCCTGGATCCGCCCCTGAAACCGCATCATATCTCGGCAGAGTTTGATCTCATGTTGTTTCAAACTAAATGAATGYACAATCCTCAAAGAAAAGAAGATCTGCAAACACACTCTGCACACAAAAAACCTGACAATGAACTGCACTCACAATTCAAGCACAAAATTAAGAGTGGTAAAATTTTTAAAAAAATATCAATGCAGCATGCATAGATGACTCAACGGTCCCATGTAAAAATGTTGAAACATGAATAATGTTGAATTATTGTGGTCACAGCTCCTTGAAAACATAATCAGCGCGTCCTTTGTGTTGTAACGAACAAAACTAGCTTCGCTTCAACAACAATGAAGCTCATGACATGAGCAAGTTTCACTTTCAATAAATGCGCGGGTGCGTCGTTTGTTTACTGACAACTAGTACAAGAAAAAGCAGCTTTTATTTTGTTGTACATAACGAATTTCAATCCACTTCGCTCGTGTTTTTATTTCTTTAAAGTTTCAATCTATTCACAGGAATGCAATTCATTATTAATAGCACACTTAAGGCCAATTTCAAAACTCGTACTAAAACTCAATCTCGTACTCGTTGCCAAATCTGAAGTTCCCTACTGTCTCCGATATGGGAGCCTCAGTCGGATACCATCAAAAAGATGTTGTAGTCAAATTGTTCAAATTTCAGGCAGTGCACTCCTAGGAAATTTGGGCCAACTTTCATCACTCCAACAACGAAATGATATCAAATAATATTTTAAGCAATTAAGAAATAGTTATTGGCCAAGAGAAAGCAAATAAATCTCATTTGCACATGAACATATTGTGTGAGAGTAAAAAAAAGTGATAGATTTATTAAGTCGAGTTCCCAGGCTCACTCGTTGAATACACATTAATTAGCATATTTTTGCTCAATTAATAAGATTGACAAATTAAAACACTCAAATGGTAGATATCAAAGCCAAAGATAAACTCTGAAAGTTTTCAGAAAAATATTAAATCCTCTTTAAATTTAATATAAGGGTCAGAAGAGGTACAAAAACCCCAAAACGAAGGCTACCCAGTCACCAGCAAAGAATTCCATACAAATCCCTGTCTTTATATTCCTCAATAACTTTGTTAGTAAGTCCATGACTTTAAAACTTTCCATGAATACCTATTTCTAATAGGTCTTCCATATGACAGTGTTGAATGTTTCCATAATATTATAAATTGTGTAAAATCGATGGTAGGCACTCATAAAAGTGGTCTATGGTTTTGGCATTTCACTATAGTTATATCTCAATATCTTATTTTACTATCATGTACTATAGGTGTATTATAAGCAGATATTTACTCTTTTTTACACACTATTAACACAAGTCATATTATAATTTACGGTATTATTCTGAATRTCATTTAATAATTGTTAGATATGCTAATAAGTCGGTCGTGATTTCAGATCCCGCGGGAGAATATAAACCTGAAGAGAATCAGAATCGTAAGTAGATTTATTCATTTTCTTGCATACTGCAATAAGAGGCCATCCATTAGACTTTTAAGGGTGGTTGGAAGATTTTGTCCCGGCAAAAAATTTTTTTGGACTTCAGGCGCGCGCTCGTAATTTTTTTGTAAATTTACAAAACCTTTAGTGGAGATTTTTCAAAATGTTGCCTTACAGAAAATTTTTGTTCAAAATCTTCCAGCCTTTTCCTCTATACTATAAGATACAGTCCTCTATACTATAAGATACAGTCCTCTATACTATAAGATACAGTCCTCTATACTATAAGATGCAGTCCTCTATACTATAAGATACAGTCCTCTATACTATAAGATACAGTCCTCTATACTATAAGATACAGTCCTCTATACTATAAGATACAGTGTCCCGGTGTTCTGTATTTAGCTGACGCTGATTTGAGGGTCTTTATTTCATAGGTGGTAAAGAAAAGATGTTTGAGGAAGGGGACATTCATTTGGATAAAAGCACTAAAGAAATCCTGGCCAATTTACAAAGTAATGCRCGTGATGCTATCAGGAATCCCGTCAAGCATTGGCCCAGAGGAGTAGTGCCTTATCGCTTCGGTGGTGTCAGTAAGTATTCCCAACCTCCGCCTCCTTCACCCTGAGAATAGGGAACTTCAGATTTGACAACGAGTACGAGATTGAGTACGAGTGTGAGTKTTAAAATCGTCMTTGAGTGTGCTATTAATCATGAAAAGCATTCCTGTGAATAGATTTGAACATCAAAGAAACAAAAACACGAAGTGGATTGAAATCCAGTATGGACAACACAGTAAAAGCTGGTTTGAAAACTCGTACTCGTACTCAATCTCGTACTCGTTGYCAAAATATAAGTCAGTCTCAACGGGGCAGCAAATGCCGTGCGACTATGAACAACACGARTCATAGAGTGGGCAACACGTATCAACAATGAACCATGTACTTACTGTTAACTTTCTATTCAAGGTAGTCGCGTTAGATCAGCGTTTCAACAAGCAATCAACGACTATAATCGAAAGACGTGCATAAGAATTGTACCAAGGACAACCCAGCGAGACTACATCCTGGTTGTCAGTGAAGGAGGGTATGACACTGAACATACTTTGTACAGGGAAATGGTTRGGAAGCCTTTTGTTGTAGGTTTTTGTGAACTCTTTTCAAGCATGACCGTGCACAATTTTTTGTTTGAACTATTGTTTTAGCCATACTGGTCAAATCTGAATGAACAGAGCGAAAATTATTCTTTTGACTATTTCTTCAAGATGCACAAAMAAGTTTAACCGATATCGCAATATTTTATTTCATAATCTCATAGAGGGTGTTTATGTTTAGTCATTTTGCAATTTCCATCGTCGGTGAGAAAAAAATTGTGCACGGTCTTGACTGACTCAATCTCAAAATACGTACAAARGATGTACAAAGAAAGTACAAAAGGTTTTCAARCCATTCTCTTCTATTAACTATGCACTGAATTACTGAAAGTGAACGATATAATGGGGTTGCCCTGGGAATAGGGGTGTCCTGTGTGTGTGGGGGTATTCCTTGGTATAGGAGTGTTTTCCATGCCACAGGTTCAGATTCGAAGGCATCGAGCTCGCAATATTTGATTGACAAGTTCACGTGACCGTGCTCCTCTTTAAATCTAAGATTGAATGATTAAGCGACACAACAGTATCCCTCGCGTGAAAATCCATACAATTCATAGTGTTTTAACAATGAGGCAAATGTCCTAGGTGTTGGTCCGCCATTGGAAGGAGTGGTGGAGCACAAAAGCTTTCGTTGGGCCGTGGCTGTGAAAATAAAGGAACAGCCATCCACGAGTTAATGCATGCACTTGGCTTTTTCCACGAGCAGTCTCGTATTGACAGAGATCGGTATATTACTATCGTATGGAATAATATCAGGCAGTGTAAGTATACTTTCTTTGATCTTTAGGCATAACAGAGAGCAAATAAAAGTGTCTATTGTATCTTTTAAGCTACGGACAGTATGATACACTGTATCAATCTCGTTCAATTTCGTACCCATCGCCCCAGTCCCTTTTACTACGCAAGCTCGACGAAAACGTTTTTTTGTCGCAGACCAAAAGTAACGTGGGTTCTGGAAACGAGATTGGTGATTTCCAATATCGCAGGGGCAGCGGAGTCAAAATTGACTTGGGGGGGGGGGGGGGGGGGGGGGGGGAGGCGGGCACAATCATTGACTTATAGTGATGGCGTCAAATCAACTTTTGCAAATCCATTTTATTGTCAAAAAATGAATTATCAGTGAATGTTTGGCTGTCGTTATTTGGGGGGAGGGGCCTGTCGACTCCGCCACACCTGTATCGTACCCAGCGCCCCTACCCTCTTATTGTTCAAGCTCAACGAAAAGGTTTTTTGTCGCAGACGAAAAGTTACGGGGGCTATAGTACGAGATCGGGGGGATTTCGTTGTTTAGGTTTGTCCAGCGGTTTCATTCATCATGGTGGTCAGTRTCATTACGTTATCTTTGCTTATTCTGTTTGTCTCATCTTTGACAGCAATGCAATATAATTTCCGGAAGTATCGACATGGTGAGGCTGATACCCTTAATGAACCATACGACTACAAGTCCGTCATGCACTATCCTAGAAGGGCCTTTTCTATCAACGGTCGAGATACTATCGTCCCAAAGAGAGGAGGCGTTCAACTTGGTCAGCGACATGGTTTTAGCAGAATTGATTTAAGGCAAATCAATAAACTGTACAAATGTGGTGTGAAGCCAAACACACCACGWCCAAGACCTCCTACCCGACCCCCAGTAAGACCTCCTACACGACCCCCAATAAGACCCCCTACACGACCCCCTGTTGGTAAGTAATTTTTGCAGCTACGTGTATTAACTTTGTTTGATTRACTGCATTACAATGTCTTTTAAAGAAGCATTTAAGCAATAGAAGGTCCAGGCATTATTACTCGACCCAAGCAGTATTTTTTTTGTTTCATTTTCTCTTGCCAATTCCGAAATTGAAAAAGGGACTGGTGACTGGTCACAAACTCAATACAGTTTGAAGGAATCGTCTGAATACAGATACCAGGACATAATAGACCATACTAAAATTAGTGTGGTTGCTGAATTTGAGCCTATTCGGATTAATAATTACAGGTTTGCAAACGTCCAAAACTCCAAAAAATTACAAAAAATGTTTAAAGCTCTTGAGCAGCGTCCCAAAAAACATACATTCATTCTTATTTTTCAAGTTTGACTAAATAGTCTCAAACTTAACAAGAACACTAATCGTAGTGTGGTCTATTATTTGGTGATATTCAATTTTCAATAAGTGGATTATTTTCACACTCGTTTCTAGTCACCTTTCGAATTTCGGCCAATGAGWTTCTGTCGTGCATTTCTAGGATCGTGTACCGATAAACACTGGAAATGCCGTTCCTGGGCCAAAGGTCGCTATTGTTCGAGTTGGAGGTATAGGCAATATATGAAGACAAACTGCAAGAAATCCTGTGGATACTGTGGAGGAGGTAGCTTGCTTAAAGGGTGTTGATGAAGAATGCTTTATGGAGATACGCGCATTTTGTTKCAGATCGAGGCGAAAGTCGATATGATCCATGCATTTTTCTCCAACTTCTCATTATTATTCATCTTATAAGCAATGAATTTGCTGTTTTTACTGGCGTCCAGCGGCTAGTGAATCACACCATATATCAAACATCATGCGCAGCGTTAAGCCGCGGATACACAAGCGATTTTTGGCTTGCGCAGGCGACGAGATTTTCGGGTACCATGAAAGCTGAACATGGAATTAGAGCTGTTTTTGTACATATACGTCTTTATGGAGATTCAAATAAGTATTTGTGAATATTTTTTTATCGATACAGCATTGTCGCTCATGTAGCCACATCGTGTGCTGGTGATTTTGAGAAAATCGCGTCGCCTGAGCAAGCGAAAAATCGCTYGTGTACCCGAGAACAAATGCAACGATTACAGAAACCTTCTGTTTTTATTGCACGTGATCTTGCGGMCCTTGTTGGTGCTTTACAGCGCAATCTCAATCAAACCTTCTCCCGGTTGGTCTGATTTCAAGATGAATTCAATGTACATAGTGTTTTGTCCTCATTTCTTTTCTATCTATCACATGTCTATATTATATTGTTCGTATACATCGCACAAATAAACTGAATAAAATTTTGGTGATTTTTAGTGAAGCCAACATGCAGGGATACGGGAAGTCGATGCAGACGTTATAATTTGAGGTATTATTGCCGATACAATAGATACTATCTTTGGTACTGCAAGAAGACATGTGGAAGGTGCTAACCAAACAAGGTAAGGTTTTCTTGGATTGCGAAATATTAATAACTAAGCCGATAGACACTAATGAACATAAGCCTACAACAACGACTTGTTTTCTTTATTTGTAAACATTGACTTATTACTGTTACTTATTTCACAATCTGATGACAACCACAGTCCACTTCCATGTACCGCTGACCTTTACAAACGCATGAACGAAACAAAACGATCTCTTTGTTAGCCTCAAATGTCGGTAAAATTTTCCATAGTCTTTTTTGTAACTATAGATCTCTTGTTTTTGCACGGGTTGTTACATTGTTACTGAATAARAGAATACATTACATGATTTTGAGGCGTAAAACGTAAAAGAGATCGCTAAAACGGTTTATTGCAATACTCCTTTTGAGATAATGGCACACAAACGCTCAAAGGAGTATACAATAATTTTTAACCTCGGCTAAAGGTCTACGAGTTGTTAGYCCACCAAACTACGGGCAAATTAAAAAAAAGACCATAAAGAACAATTTTTCTTGACRTTTCTTCACTTYTTTCATTTGATGTGACCATGGTATATCATGAATAGATCATAGTTCTGTAGCCAATCAGAATGCTGGATTTGTGATAACCSTAGTTTGGTGGATATGCGATATATATCAGTAGCGCACTGCAGTTGAATTATAGTTGCGATGGTTCGAAACAAGAAATATTTTCTGCGTGTTGAGTTTATTGCATTAATTTCTTATCTTTGTTTTTAGGAAGGCGTGCWGGTACCCACTCTAAGACGATATGAATAATTTGCTTATTTGTGTTTTATTTGTTATTCACGAATACAATATTKTGATGTAGTAATCTAAGTATTTCATAATAAATCATGATTTAGATATCTTATGCGTTGCTCTTGACGGACAGACAGGGCTAGACACAGTAACACTAACCGCACCGTACCGTACCCATGTACATCCTCCCGACGGCCGTACTGTATGGTTATAGACCTCAGAAGCTTTTACGTCATGTACCGTAAACGCAATGCGTTGTAGGATATGTTTGGGACAKAACATKGCGGATTTCTTTTGTTTTCTYTAGAAACTGATGAGAAGAAGTGACGAAAAGGGTTTAGAAATCTGCTATTATCGACGTTTGAGGCAATTAAGTACCATTAAAAGGRTTTTCACAGAAAAACAATACAAAATAATAATATTGAATCCTCTC